AAAAAAAAAAAAAAAAAAAAAAAAAAAAATATATATATATATATAAAATACACAAATGAACATAAATAGGCTAAATCAATTGATTTTTTTTTTATCACTAATCAATTTTTAGGTTCCAGGATTGATGCGTCTCCAAACATTCTTTTATGGTAATGCATTTCCTAAATTTCACCACATGGTGTTGCTACTGCGCTCCGTGCAGAATGTCATAATATGCCTGGTGTTTGATGTGCTTATTAAATGCTATTTACAAAAAAAAAAACAAAAAAAAAATTTAGACATATACAATATGAATATAAAATATATTTAAAATAAAACTACAAAATAATATCTAGAACAATATTAAATATATAAAACAAAATATATTAAAACTATAACTAAATATAAAATCATAATAATTACTATAACTAGAATAATAATAATAAATGTACTTCTCAACTATGTTATGAAAGATATAACAGAATGATTTGATATACTACTTTACTTTATGCGGTATGTGTGTAAAATGGCCATAAATGGGTTTTCCCAATGTATCCAATGTACAGTATCTATACACTGTATCTAATTTGCATATTAATGTGTTCTTGGGGCAACATGTAATGAAAAAAGAAGTGTAATAATGGGAGTAATAATGGGCAAAATTTTCATAATAATATCTAATATAGGAATAGGAATATTGAAAATTCTTTCCCTATTCATTTGTTGTGTCTCCCAAAATGCGTAATAAACATGCTTTTAGTCCTGGTGTCCTCTACAGTGGACATGTATGAAATCGATGTCCTGTTTCGTAACCGAACGTCATATTTTGATTTGAAACCCCATAACATTTTCCTGAGATGTTGATTCATGACAAACAGTTTAAAAATTCAGATGTAAATGATAATTACAAAATATTGTCATATTTCCATAAGAGTGTTAAATTTGATCACTACATTAATATCAGCTATTTTTAAAGACCAAGGAGTCATGGTGAAAATTCCAAACATTTGGTATGTCTGAAAAGCCCTGAATGTGCTCTGTACAGGACATCCAGACTTAAAACTGTGACATGCAAGTTCTCAGAGAAATTCACTCAAATATAATGTCCACTACAGAAGACAAAAGTCTATTCCTGGGTCCCAGGAGGTTTAACATAAAATTATATAATATAAAAAATAATATTTATAATATAAAATACATTGAAATAAAATGATAAAAAATAAAATCTAGAACTATATTAAATATATGAAAATAAATATTATTATTACATTATTATGTATAGTTATTGTCTTTTTATTTATATTATATAATAAAAGGGAACTATAGCAGAATGACTCTGGACAGTTCAGACCTGCGGCACTTTTCACGTGCTTTATGCGCATGCGCGTTGAAGTGAGCGTGACTTGTTCTTCAGAATGCTACAACTGTGGAGTTGAGAGGAAAATAAATTAACAGTTTATTCGAAATCATGCACTATCCTCAGTGCGTGCTGAACCAGTAAAGTAAGTCAAGTCGTTTGGTTTATGAGGCTGAAAAAGCTATGAGTGACGCTAAACGAAATAAATTGCTTGTAACTGTATTTATTTCCGCTAGCATGCTTGCTAAATGAGCTGAGTCTGCATAGTACATTATTGTAAGATGTGTTCCGACACGGTTTTACATTAGAAAATGTCAGTAAAATAACCGTTTAGAAGATGCATTACTTACATATCTATTAAAGGTCTGAATAAAACTCGATAACTCATGGAATGACAGCGAAATTCACAGGAAAACCAACAGCAACCTTTAAACCACAGGAGATGAGGAACAAGATGTACTCATGAACCAAACAGCAAGCACGATTACAAATTCCATCTCCGATTTGATCTTACTTACTGTAGCCTACAGTTAATTTCCACATTATTAAAAAAATTATTTGTAATTCATATAAAGCAATAAGTGTTTGTTTCTTAATCCTGAGGTCATGCCCTGTAATAGAGCAAACTAAAGACATTTTCTTGTTCTTTTGTGTGCAGTAATGCTGTAGAAATACTCATCCACTATGCTGAGTCGCCTCCAGGAGCTCAAAAAGGAAGAGGAGACTCTTCTGAAAGTTAAAGTCATGCTGCAAGATCAGCTCAACAGACTTAAGGTAAGAACAATCCTATGTAAATATTTAATTGTGGTCTCTATGCATAAAACTGACTAAACTGTCTTTATGTTCATCAGTTTGAGGAAGGGACTCTGAGGTCTATGATAAATGCTCAGTCTGAAGAAAGCCCAAATGAAGTCCCTGCCCCTGAGGTAAATAAACAAAAGGACAACACCACAAAAAAACACTGGTGATACTTATTGAGTAGTAGTACACTCAATAATATTTTATAGTAATAAAAGTAATTTAAGTATTTAAGTAAAATAATATGTTGTGCTCCTATTTTCTGTTATTATTTCTGTTAACCTGTTATTTTTGTTTAATGTATCTTATTTCTTTCATGAAACACTAGGCAGAATTTCCAAGCTTGCCCTTCATACAACAAATGTGAATAGTGATTTATATAGCAAAACTCCATAATGGAAAAAAGCATCATAAATTCACATTTGTGGTCAAGTACGTTAAAACTCGCTGAATCGTTATTGTTCACATGACACAATCAGGTCAGAACAACACAAGATTAAATTATGATAAAGTTTTCTGATTTACTGTGCACTACCATTCAAAACATTGAGATCAGTTAGGTTTTGTTTTTTAAAGAAATTAATACTTTTACTCGGCAAGGACACAATCAATTGATCAAAAGTGACAGTAAAGACATCTATAGTGTTACAAAAGATTTCTATTTCAAAAATTCATCAAAGGATCCTTAAAAATGTATCATGGTTCCCACAAAAAAAATACTGAGCTATTTTCAACATTGTTTATAATATGACATGTTTCTAGAGCACCAAATAAGCATATTAGGATCATATGGCACTGAAGACTGGAATAATGGCAGCTTTTTCCATCACAGGAATAAATTATATTTTAAAATATATTAAAATAGAAAAGTTATTATAAATGGCAATAATATTTCAAAATATTACAGTTTTTACTGTATTTTTAATTAAATAAATGAAGCCCAGGTGAGTGAGCATAAGAGACTTTCTTCAGAATTGTTAAAGCTATTTTTTTTTTTTTAAAACAATGGATCTTTAACACACAGTTAAAAGACAATTAAGATGACAAATTATGATATATATTTTTGTTGTGCACAGGTGGAAGTCAACCTAGATGATGAGACTGAGATCAACCAGACCAAACTAGTATTAGGTGCTCAAACAGACTATGACATGGAAGAAGAAGAGGAGGAGGAAGAGGATGATGACGAGGATGATGATGCAGATGTCGACCTCGATATGGTGCTAGAAGATGAAGACGACGACGATGACTACTGACCGTGCCTGCAAAGCCAGCGTTATAATTGACTCCTTGTCAATTACTCCTTGATGTGTAGTCTGCACATTTGGCATGCTGATAAGAGACTACAACTGTCTCTCTGTCTTAGATTGCTGTTGCTTTAGATAAACTGTTGGTTCACCCATCTATAAAATCCTCCAGAAGTATGTGTAGCACAAATACAACTCCTTCTATTACTGTGCTGTTGGCCAAGCCTGCACTTTATGTATTTTTTAAAATACATATAAATTAAAGATTGCACCAATTCTATTTCATGGTGTTCACCAAGAGATGCTGTACTATATAGGCTTTATTTAATATTGTATTGTATTGCTTTCAGATTGAATGCATTATTATTATGATGCTGATGATAAGTATTATGTATGTACATGTTCATTTTGTGAACTCGCAGAGGTATTTTTTTTTCTATTTGGATGAGTGTGTGGAATAGGGTGTGTATGCATGGGCATGGCAATTGTTCTAGCTGAGCCAGTATTCTAACTTTTTGTACTTCACGTGCAGCATTGTTAATGTACAGAGAGTTCCTATGTTTTCTTAGATGAAAAACATATTTTCTGCGGATTCTGCAGAAAGTGCTCAGCGTAATTGCATTTAAAAACACTTCAGCTTAGCACTGTTTCTTTAGCAGAGTGATGCAGTTTGTTTGGTTAGGTGTTTTGGTGTTGCCTTCATGTAAGTGTATGATGTGTGAATGACATTTTTACATTACACCTAATAAAGGTACATGCTAATACATGCTTATCTTTATATTTATCTACTGTTGTGCCATAATTTTTCTCCAGAACCTGCTCTTATTGTGAAGTGTAGTTGCTACATTGTTAAAATTGAATTACAAATTAAAAAATGTTTGATGTATCCACAAACCTTACTTTCTATATAAAAAAACTATATAAAAAAAAAGGTAAAAATATTAAGTATGTTTTTACATTTATTTTGTACTATATATAGGATATAGCCTACATATTTCTAAAACAATCTATTTTGCACTTTAATAATATTATAGAAAGAAAGCATAATTTGTGGTCCGGAGAAAAAAAAATATAGAAAGCAAGGTTTGTGGATACATAACTATTTTTTTAATTTGTAATTGATTTTTTTATTTTCCTGCATTATTTGCTTTTCACACATTACTACTTGCTAAAATACAAGGTATGCATTACTTAAAGTCACAATAACTCAACATAAGAATCAAAGTAAGATCTGAAACCTGTTGTATAATATTTGGTGTCAGTTTATCCCACCATATGCTGTAATTGTTAAACACAAGAGTATCAGCCTCTCCAACATTAACTTTGCTTACAGAGTGAAACCCTCATTTGTAAGAGATCTGTCCACCGTTGCAAAATGTGATCACAGTCCATTGACCCTCAATAGGAAGGCTTCTGGGTCTACACTGGGGTCATGGGACCACCTTTAGTACAGCACAGTGCTTTGTCACCCAAGCTAAACGGTAACAGACTCTGTATGGCAACCTTCAAACTTGGATGTGATATCAAGGTGTGGGATAGTTTTCATTGATTTTAAAAGGCATTTCCATCAGGAATCAATGCAAATTCTGTGAGAGGTATGTTCAAATCAAGAGTATGAGTGTGAATTTTGTTTATTTTCTGGATGTTGGAAAAAGATGTTTTGGTAATTCATTACTGGGCAAATGGCATTGTTTCAGCAACAGTGATGAATCATGTCTAGTGAAAGAGTAACTGCCTCTCAGATCAGGAGAGCGTGGTGCTGATGAGGGTCACTGCGCTGGAGCTGAGATCTGGAATATGATGCTGTCACACAGTGTTGGATGAAGATGAATACACATTTAATGAATTTAATTCATCCACTGTATTGACTGCAGTAATAATGGATTAGTCTGTAACCTTTTTAGGACTCTTTGCTCTTTGACCTTCTAAAGACTCATTATGGGAACCCCATGATCTACATCACTGAGAACGGGGTCTCAGAGAAGATGATGTGCACAGAACTGTGTGATGACTGGAGGACACTGTATTACAAGGCTTACATCAATGAGATGCTCAAAGGTAAAAGTCTAAAAATGAGTCAAGGGATGGGTCACCCAAAAAAATTGACATTCTGTCATCATTTACTCACCCTCATGTTTCAAATCAGTATGACTTACTTTCTTCTGAGGAACACAAAAGAAGATCTTTTGAAGTATGTTTAAACTGTTTTTGTCAATATAATGGAATTCAATGGGGTACAAAACAATATTGGACCCCATTAACTGTCATTGTATTGACAAAAAACAAACACTGAGACATTTTTCAAAATATCTTCTTTTGTGTTCTACAGAAGAAAGAAAGTCATACAGATTTGGATTTGGAACGGCATAATGGTGGCGAGTAAATGATGACAGAATTGTCATAAATTGTACAAATTATGATGTATTTTATTTGTTGTTATCCTGCAGCTATCAGGGATGGAGTGAATGTGAAGGGCTACACTGCTTGGTCCCTTCTGGACAAGTTTGAGTGGGATGAGGGCTATTCAGAGAGGTTCGGCCTGTATTATGTGGACTTCAGGAACAAAAATAAGCCTCGCTACCCCAAGGCCTCTGTTCAGTTCTACAAACACATCATTAAGTCTAATGGATTTCCCAATCAGAGAGAGGTACATCTATTTTGCTGAAATGCCCATTACGAGTTACTAAAAAGAAAAGAATGAAGTCATAATGGCCTAGTCCTAGAGATATATAAAAGTAGCAGTTTATTTTTCTTGTTTTTTGTTTTAACATAAACTGTTAGTTTTATACATTACAAGGACTCAAGCTAAATCATAAATCCATATCTGTATCTATTTATCAATCTATATACGGTATAATATATCTATATATATATATAAATACAATACCCAAAAGACTACAAACCTGTGGAGGGAACCAAAACATATACAACACACTCACAGTTACATAATAAAGAGCATTTTTAAGGAAAGTGCTGTTTACTCGCTGATTAACTGATTCTGCTCCAGATTGTTCGACAGCCGTCTTGCGGTACTATTTGGATTAGAGCATCTGTTTTGGTATTGAAACATGCTATTTAGAGTCAATTAAATGTTTGCGGAGAACATTTCCAATTAAATGTGAATACACCCAACAACCTCATTTGGTTATCTACCAACAAAAACGTCTTGGAGAACCCCCAAGATTAGGATGTAATTAACATATAAATGGTATTTTCTAATTATTTTTCTGTCATCTTATATTGAACAAACTCCAATTGCCTTGGACATGTTCCAAATGTTTATTTTTCAAATGATACAAAACCATATAAACCATTTTATATATAACTGTTTATATAAACTATGTATTAAAAGGTGGCATAATTAACTGAATTAAACAGTCCAGTTAAATACCACATAAAAAGACAGATTACGGAATAGAATCCTGAAAGGAGTGTCCATCTGTGTAAGCCTCTATCTGTAAGAGAACAGTATGAATAAATGAGACAATGACTGTATGCTCTGAATCATCATCATTGGCAGGTTGAGAACTGGAAAAGGAAAGCTACAGAGACTTGCTCCACCAGCAATCAGCTCCTGGCTGCAGGTCAGTGGATCATTGATTCGAACTTAGTTGAAGAACTGGGGGCGCAACCAAGGAAAAATTCCATTTGTTGATCACAGACTAAAAGAAATAATCATGTAGCCTTTAATCAAGAACAAATTCCTCTTGAACAGTACATGAGAACATTCCTTGTCTTCATCTGGATCTCCACTGTTTTATTATGCTAACCGCATTTGTGGTTTGAGTAGGTTTCTACTTAGCCATTAGTGTCCATTGGGACTCGGTATGCTTACCATGAGAGTGGATTGACAAAGACTTTTGGGGAGGTCTGAAACATAGACTAAGCTGAAACCACTAACAGGATTTTTCTTTGTTTGCCCCTCCAGCTAGGAGAAAATCCAAGGAAAATAAAGATCATGCAGAGATGGTTTAGACAGTGCATTATGAAGTTTAGACACTAGGGTACATATAGAAGTAACTTGTACTTTTCTTTTCGGCTTGGCAAACTTCCGACAAAATCTTTAAAAAACAGCAAGATTATTGTGTGGTGTAGGAAAAAAAGAACATTAAGCAACTCCAGTTCTGGCCTACTCTGATCTTGGGAAGCCGCAATGTCTCAAGTCTTCAGAGGCCATATTCTACAAGCTTCAGTGAATGATGTTAAAATGGCTCTATAGTACATATATTATTTCATTAGGAACTATAACAGAGTGCAACAGTGCTCGCTAACTTTTCAATGGCCTTGGTTCTGGAAGTATGTTTCCCATTCATTTTCCTTTCTTTCTTTTTTAAAGAGTTATAGGCTATGAACCAAACCAATCAACTACAAAACAAATCATAACATTTCAAACTTGATTTGAAACAAAAAAGTATTTGAACATTGGGCAAAAAGATAAAGGTACAAGACAAGTGTAAAGAATTGCAAATGAGAATTAAAATAAAAACAATGGAAATGCTGACTATGTATACAGAAACACACCTACACACACATCCACACACACACATATATATATAATTAAGGTGGCACTTTTTTTATGTGCTTTGCTTGTTCCGATTCTCTGAATGGAGATTTGCAGAGTCATGGGTAATGTAGTTTTTTTTCAACAGAAAGGATTAGTTTAAAAAAAATAAGAAATAATGTGGGCTGATGGCTTTAACAAAAGAATGTATCACCATATACCATCAATAATCAACTTCGTAGCTCACAGTTTGTCCTTAAAGGTTTACAAATTATCATTAAAAAATTTTTTTTAAAAATCACTGAATTTTTTTTTTTAATGAATGGGAGTTTGTTACTTGTGGAACCCGACTGTTGCACTCTATTATTATAATAAATTACATACTATGTTGTCAAGTTTTCATCACAAGCAATTGCATAAGCCACAATGACATATTGCTTATGGAATGGCGAGCAGAAATTCAGTCAACATAAACTTGGTGAACTATCTGCTGCTTTAATGATAGCTTGCTTTGCTGAAGTTTTGATTATCAGCAAATAATCATCTGATTATCAAGATTTCAAAATCTTTTTAATCAGAACCTGAAAATGTTGCTATTGCTAATACTCTAATACTATTTTTGATGAATCACACTGAAACGTTTCCCATCAAAAAGAACAGCTTCATATTGTACAGTATGTGCTGTATAATCCTCAAACAAACAATGGAAGTATATAAACTAAAAGGATGCTTGATGTGGATGGCATGCTGCCCTTTTGCTTATAACCCAGTTAACTGAATTGTGCTGCTTTGTGAGCTTACACAGCGGCCCTCAAAGGGTTAATGTGTCCTGCTGCCGTCCTAAGATTATTTCTCTCTCTTCATTAGAGGAACAGCGGAATACGGCTGCCAATATTCTAAGACTTATTCATGGTAAGCCATCACAAACACACCCACCCACACACACACAACAGCTGGAAGAGAATTATATTAACCCTTTGAGTTCTCCGTTATGCAAAAGCAGTGTGAAACTGGGCTATGCTGTTATGTTTGAGCTGATAAGCACGTTTGTGTGTGTACATTTCAGATCCTTTAACCATCCACATGGAGATGGTGACCGAGGTTGTGGTTCCCACGGTGTGCACCCTCTGCATTTTGATCAGCGCTGTCTTTCTCATGTTCCTACTCCGCAAACGAAACTAACTCACTTTTTTTAAAGGAAACAAAACAAAACAAAAACTGGATTTGGCCCTTGTTTCTTGGTTAATACTATTTTGCATTGGTTAAGGATACTATGCTGAAATGATATAGGCAAATAGTCATCTGGTTTTGGAAAAACTAGATGCCTTAAACCCAGTTGAAACCTTAGACATCTGCCAACTGAAGTGGCTGTATATACACTACCATTCATAACTTTGGGGTCAGTAAAAAAAAAAATTTTTTTTTGGATACTTTTTATTTAGCAATTATGCATTAAATTGATCAAAAGTGACTGTTTGTGAAGTTATTTTAAATTGTAATAATATTTCACAATACTGTTTTTGACTGTATTATCAAATAAATGTAGCATTGGTGACTCTTCTTTAAAAAACATTTTTTAATGAAAATAAAATAAAAAAATGAAATGACCCCAAACTTTTGAACAGTATTGCGCACAAGCGAATTGAAGCCATTGCATAAAAAAAACAATAAACAAATATGGACTTTATTTCTTGACATTTTCTGTGAATTTATTTCCATTAAATGCTATCTTACCGGTGTTAAGTGAAGCTGATGAGACTACAGCTCACCATGGTCCTGTAGTAAGACATCTTCTCACTTTCTCCATTCACAGACTCATCCAAGGGTACATCTGCATGTGCGTGACCAGATAAATTGAATGTCACGTTTCCTTTGGTTTCAACAAACAAAAGACTAAAAAAAAAAAAAACAGCCTGTGACTTCACCTAAGTCAAAACTGACGTGGTCTACTAGGGGCTTGTCACTGAGATACAGTGTTGTCTTTACTTCCTTTGACCCCTGTCCACTCGACACCTCCATAGCCCAAGAGAACGGCTGCTCCCTGAGAGAATAACATAAACCAATATTAATTCATACTTATAAATGTCATTACACGGTTTAGTACATCTTACATCAACTGGAAAAATTATACAGAGAGAATATAGCAGCTCATGAAAATAAATGCAGCATCTACTCACTTCTCATAAAAGTAGCTAATGAGTGCAGGCTTAATTTGCAGCTGGAAGATATGGTTTTCATCATAGTTGGATGTTTTGTAATATTGCAAACAGGACCTGATATCAGATATCATGATTAGAACACTTTATTCGAGATCTAACTACTGAAATTAGTTTATTTTTTATCTGTTTTATTCTCTTGCAATGCACCATCCCCATCGCAATCAAGGGATATGCAGTGCTCTCTGATAAAAAAAAAATTTTTTTCTCTAAATCATAAATCACAATTTCTTGTGAAAATAAATGGTAAGATATATTATTTCTCTACATTTTGAATCACAGTTTGATTCAAATATGATTTCTGGAAAGGGCAGGAAACTCACTGAGTGAAAAGGAAGAGGCGATCATGAGGAAGACTGAGGAAAGTGCTGCAGGTGCCCATGATCTCCAGCAGGTGGTGCAGTTTCCTCACTCTTATCACCTGCTCCTGCAGGTCCACCTCTGTGTCCAAGTAGTAACTCTGAAAATTTACAGATAAAATGTATAAACCACCCCAGTACATGCTAGTATTCTCCTAAATCTAAAAAAAATAATTTTTTATTAAAAAGTGAAAAGTGTTTCCTACCAAATAGTTGAGAGTTGTAAGTTCCTTTCCTAAAAAATAAGGAGAATTAACTCTTATTTAGCTAATCAGCAGATAAATTGAACTCTAAACCAAAAAAGAGCTAGATTTAATTTCAAAATTAATGTACCGTACCAACAAGGTAGTTGATGAAGTCTTTCCTGATCTTGTCCAGGCCGAGCTCTAGCAGCATATTAGCGGGTGTGAGGCCAGCGAGAGGCATGGCGTCTATCTGCTGCTGGTACGACTGCAGAATCAGCTTACTGAGAGTGCTATTGCTGTCTTTGTGGATCTAAGGAAAAAAACACCCTCATTACACCATTTTAAAATATTATGCTGAACAAAGATAAAAATGTTAGATCATATTCATTCACATAACTGGTAACCAAAAAAACCCTTTAGTGCATTAAAACAGATATGGAGCTGCACGCACCCATGGTTTGATTTTACCAAGTTTCACTGCTTTGACAACATTTTTCAGGCATTCTGTTATGTCTTGATATGAAGTTACACCTATGAGAAAAAATATATAAAATTTGGTTACAGTAAAGATGTTTGGCTGTATTTCATGAAAATTCCCAAAGCTAATATTTACTCTTCCTCATCCTCTCCCACAGTTGTTCTGTAAAGTCCAGGTCTCCTCTCTCAATCACCATTGAGCTGAAGGCTGCTGTAGCATCTGTCTTAGCTTTTTGTTTCTGTTATAAATGATCAAATAGATAGTTCACACATAAATTAAACTTTTGCCATTGTTTACCTATTCATTCATTCCAAATCTTTCTTCTTTAGTGGAACACAAAATGAGAAGTTTCCTAACAATATACTGGCTTTATTTAATGAAAGAGAATGATGAATTGGGCTGTTAATATTACAGTATATTATAATATTAATTTACCTCAGAAGCTTTAGCAGTGTGTCCTGGTACTCCTTGTGCAACATTCTCAAGCTCTAAAATAAGGGAGAAAAACAGGTTCATAAACCAGCAAATAATCTCCCTCAAACTGCACACGCTACACTCAAAAGCAAAAAATTCAAGGACTGACAATCAGCAGCATTTATATCTATTTGTGGTTTTCTCGCTATATCACTATATCTGCTATACCCTCTATAAGTGCTCTGGTCAGGTCCACTGCAGACTGAGTCTCCACTGGTTCCAACCATTCAGTTTCTCCTGTTCTCAAACCCTCTGCCAGAGCCTAGTCAAATGTTTTAAAACAAAAGCAATACATGCTGATGACATGAAAATTATTATATTATATATTAATTATAATATGATATAATATAGTGTTAAACATTTCTCTATCTAGAATAAATCAATTTATTGTTTTATTACAGGAATTTATTATTTTTTATTACAGGAAAACCATTGTTATTGTTAACTAAAACGATTTAAAATACATTTCATTAATTGAAATAAAGCTGAAACAACATAAAATATAATTATTAGATGACAGACTTAAACTTAAAATGCTTCAATGAAAAAGAGACTTAAAATAATTTGAAATACTAAAATGACAACTAAAATTAAATTAAAGTTAAGTAGAATTGTCATTAAAAAAAATGACAAAAGCAAGTAACAAAATGACTAAAACCTTTAACTAAAATTAAAATGACACCTAAAAATATAAAAACACAATCTGATTCACATCAATAAAATATAATAGTACAGTACACTAAAATTGCACTGTTTTTACTTAAACACAATTTATTTCCAACACTTACCAGAAGGAACTCCATCTCTCTATAGGTCTGATACAATGGACTCCTTATGTCTCCAACTGTGACTTTAATATTCTGTAAATAGCAAAAAAAAAAAAAAAAAAAGTCTGTCATTATTTAGGCTACTAAGCCCCATGTCAATAGGAATCTCAAGATAGTTGTCCTGTGGAACACAAAAGAAGAAATTCTGAAGCAATTTAAAATTCTCCCTTTAGAATCCCTTTAATTCCTTTAATGATAATTCCCAAAAATGTATTTATGCAGCAAAACTTCAATATATTGGTGTCCTGAAACAATATATTCTGAGACCAGGACGAGTTGTTTTATACACTCTTAAAAAGAAAGTTTTCAAAAGGGAGTTTTCACAGTGGTGATGGCCTAGAACAGGGCTGTCCAAACTCGGTCCTGGAGAGCCGGTGTCCTGCAGAGTTTAGCTCCAACCCTAATTAAACACACCTGAACCAGCTAATCAAGCTCTTACTAGGCATACTAGAAACTTCCAGTCAGGTGTGTTGAGGCAAGTTGGAGCTAAACTCTGCAGGACAAAGAAGACCCTTGGTCTTTAAAAAGCAAAAAAAAAAAAAAAAAAGTTAAACAAAAAAATTTTTTCAATAGGCAGTATGATCAAAACTGATTAATTGGGACTAAAGTGTCAAAGGCAACTGGATGTGGTACTGTTGCTGACCAGAGATGCTTTAGAAGACAAGGGAGGACACTCCAAGACTTTCTCCACATTGTTCCATGTGAGAGTCGCTATTACACTGCTCTGGGACTCAAACATCATGCTCTCCTCTTTTAAGGAGCAAAACAGGTTGTACTGTGCATAGCCTTTGGTTGCAACCTGAAAAAAATTATAAGTATCTTAACAGATACATAACACTGAGAAAACTATAGGAGCTAAATGGCAAAAAAAATCTTACAGTAGAGGGATGGTGTCTTTTCTCATGCTCTTTTTTAAGCTCATCCAATGCGGTGAAAGAGGTTTCATCTCCTGTTGGACCTGCAGAACATTGGGAAATAAAAAGGTTTTGTCTATGTTTACAAAGAGTAATCTCTTTATGGGTATTTTCTCTTTAAGTAATGCATGAGTAACATTTGAGGACTACTACCTTTGCAGCTGACTGTATACAGTTTGACACCACTGGTTTTGTTCCCACTGTAGACAGTTTCTACTCCAAGCCAGACGGTGGCACATGGGTCCGATTTGTCACAACGGACCCAAAGAGGGTGCAGAGTCCCTGGGGCTTCAACCCAGGGCATGTTGGGGTTATGAGCCATGGTGTACCACGACAACAGCTGCCTAGTTAAAGAAAGTGAGTAAAAATAATTCTTCATTTGTGCGCTCAGCCTTCGTAAGGGAAAAATAATTCTTCAATCATACTATATTGCAACAAGCAGCTTCTTTCACCTTGCTTTCATGACAGAGAGAGGCTGAGGTCCTAGATCTTGCTCCACTTTAAAGAGTGTATCTTCCACAACACTGGTGTCAGCTGTAGTCTCTGTAGCTTCTGGTTCACACTTTGGTTGCTTTTAATTAAATAGGTTCACAAATGATATCATGTTTATTGTAAATAAGAATAGCATATGATATGGGGGCCATCACAAAACTGACTTACTGCTTTCTCACAGACAAAGATAGGCTGAGTTCCACTGATTATGTCGTGCAAAAGCTCTTCCTTCTCCACCAGTAGTACTGAAATATCATCCTGAAATAAATAAATAAATATATTTCAACACGCATGACTTTTCTATTAATCTGCATCCATATTAGTTTTACCATATACGTGCAGTTCTCTTTATTTTCATCTTGACACAACCTAAAACAAGCAAGGAAAGAAAACTAAGATAAACATATCATTTACACAAATATAACATACTGTACGTAGCAAAACATGACAGATCTGCCAGTTATTCAAGTTCAGT